ATATTTCCGTTTTCTTTTTTCAAACAAGTGAGTACAAGCACTGGCGGAACTTGGTAGGGGCATGGGGGGGCCGTTGACCCCCCAAGAAAAAAAAAATTAGATATTTGGTATTAAATTTTTTGAATATTACTTTTGGCCCCTCCAAAGTTTTTGTAAATATTTATCTTGACCCATTATTTTTTTTTTGTTTTTTCTCCAAAATATTATATAAATTATAGATAAATATATCATATTTAATTTAAAATATAAAATAAGATGGTTAAAACTTGTATTATTTTAAATAAAATTGATGAATATTACTTATTTTTGAATTTTTTTATCTAACACCTTAAAAAAAAGATGAGATCGTGCCATGAATCTCCAAAATATTAAGTGCAGTATATTATTAGAATAATTTGAATTAATTTAGAATTTTTTGTGATGATTAAAATATGGTGTGTGTGTGTGTATATATATATATATATATATATATATATATATATATATATATATATATATATGATATTTTAATTAAAAATTAGTTATATAAACTTAGTTTTTGTAATGTTTTGTGCACCTAAAATTTTAGTTAGCCGCCTACATTTTGATTCTGGTTCCGCCCCTGAGTACAAGTAAATTTTTACGCAGATTGTTATATATGATACCAACATTTATCCCTAATGATAAAAATACGGCTGGATTCTCTTCCCTGGTGGTAAAACAAGAAAAAAGAAAAAGAGCAACCACAAGAGGTTTCTTTATGTATTTTGAAGCTTTTGTTTTTTCCTGCTTATACACTTTTTTTTTTCCAGCTTATAGGCCCATTTTCCTCAAAAAATGTCATGTACGTATCATTAATTTTGATACTATATAAAAACGTGTTTCTTACATAAAGATATAATATTGAATACGTAAAATTTTGTTTAGTTCTGATATTTTATGAGTACTAAGTCTCCTAAAATTTGTATTAGTTACGATTTTTTACTTTTCACAATATTTTCCATCATTATAAATTTAAAGACGCACTATTTACACGGCATTTTTATCTCCTCTCATCACAATGATATATTTTTTTTACTATAACCTTACAATAAATGTCCAAAACACCTTTAAATAATAAAATTTTGTGTGCCCTAATATTTTGTTCCACCATCACAGTCTATATTATTTGTCACACAATCACATCAAGAATGCAAAGTAACAAACGAAGTTACACTTTTGATGAACAAAGATGAGAAATTGTCACAAAAGAAAAGAACATGAGTTTCTCGACACATATACAAAACAATTATCCAAAATCTTCGATTGAGTTATAAATTCAAAATATCTGAAGTTATGAGTAATATTGGGAAAGATGAGAAATAAAATGAGAGAAGATGTCGAATTTTATGTTGGTGGTGAATTTGGGATTATTATTTTAGGATAAAGGTTAAATAGTAAAACAAAGTAGTAAAATAAGTTTTTTTAATATATAAATTAAAGTAGGTGGTGTAAAGAGATAAACAGACGGTGGAAATAGCGCGTCTCTAAATTTATTGCCCACCGCCGTGATAGCATTTATTCCCAACAACATGTAAACATGATACAAGTTTGTAGATTATTTCAATAATTAATAAATACCAATGTTGTAAATACTATAGATTATAGGGTATTCTTGCACCAAAAAAGGCGAAATCCCTCGCCCCCAGGGCCCGACAAGGATTGATGGAGGAATGTAAATCATGCTAACTCAACGGCCCGTTAAGGTAGCGGACCCGGACCTGGTGCCCACAAGGAACCAACCCTCATTAGAGTTGAAATTCCCGCACTGCGACTGCCAGGATTCGATCATAGGACCTTGCACCAACTTACCACCTCCGGAACCAGTTGAGCTACACCCACGATTATAGGGTATTCTTATTCTTACCAATTTAGAGGGTATTTAACTTCCAACTTCCAACTTATTTCATAACTTACCCTCATTAGCTCTACTACTTTCTAAAGTGTCTCACGATGTAGGTATTACTCCATGTCTAATTCTTATGTAACCTCCATTTGTAACTTCCTGGTTGGTATACCACTTATATTAATGAGAAAAACTTCGTCCCTATCTAATCCCCATAATTTTCTCTCTATGGAGTTGTTCTTTGCGTTATCTATTTCTCTCGTTCTCATTGTTTACATTATACTCTACTAAATTATTCTCAATCACCAAACCAAAGAGCTAGCTAGATAAATAAGTCATTTTACAACATGTCACCAGCACGAAGTGCTCGTCATGATCGTGGAAAGACAATTGTTCCTGAGACAGTGGTCTGGGAGAATGTATAATAGTCTCCGTAATATTTGGATTTCAGCGTTTTAAGTGAGCCTTAATCCCTTTCCATTCGATTTCGTAAGAGATGCATGGTAGATCTATATAATGGCATGAAATGTAAAAAGTATATATTTATCTTGAAGTCACTACTTCATTTATTCCGTGACGTTCTTGACAATATGACATATAGTGGGTAATCTTTATTCCATGGATAGTGTGATTAAAATGCATTCATATTTCATATAATAATGGCTATGAGCGTGTGAAATGATATCTTCTTATTGGGCCAAACTATTACATGTTCAAGTATGAAATAGTGTTGCACCAACTTACATGAATTTGGGTGTCTCAATCGTGCTCTATCATATGAGATAGTGTCATGAATTATGGTCTATCATATGAAAGTTATGAACGTGCATGAACATGTAGACCGGGAGTTTTAATGAATTAAAACATACATGAATTTTTTTATGGAGGTTAAATTCTCATAAAATACTTTTTTTAAGGAACATTTTCATAAAATACTAACACTACATACTATATTCGATTCGAGATAAAACACATGAGCAAACTCGAGTTCACCAATCTTAATGTATACGGGGAAAAATTTATGGGTTAGAGAAGGGATGTTAAGATCCACATGCTTAGTATGAAACTGAGAATTGTTGTCGAGTACAATATGCTAAAAAATCAGAAGATTGAGGCTATAACTCTGATCAAGAGACACTTAGATGAAGTCCTTTATTTGAACTATATTCATTAATAGAGAATCCCCAGAAATTATGGGATGTACTCGTTAATCATTTTGATCACCAAAAAACTATAATTCTGCTTGAAGCAATGATTAAGTGGATCCTATTATGGTTTATGTAAAATCCGGATCAGAATCAGATCAAACATACATATTATATATGTGGTGGATTAAGTCATTGTCACGCACTTGTAGTGCGAGGAATGTTGTGGTTGCAGATGCAAAATAAAAATGCACCACCACATAATAACTTGGTAGGGACCAACATTCTCAATGTGGAGTTTGTTGCTCAGCATCCATACTTGGGTATATCTGACCAAAGGCACAGTATTGGGATATGATAGGAGTATTTTTTTTTTGAACACATAAAAACGTACTATATTACATATTTAACAAAAGTTGCGGTTACAAAACACGGGTAGTACATCTAGCAAAATTCGATATTTTATTTTAATATATATAACTAGTAAGAAACGGGGGACAATCATCATAGAACAAAACTTCATCAAGATTTAGCTCCGCCCCTCGTTTTGCTAATACGTCCGCTACGCTATTAAGTTCCCTATAGCAGAAGTTAATGACGACATCCTAGAATTCAGTCAACAACTCCTGAAGGTTCTTGAGAAGTGTTTTGTGGCTGATGTGAGGTACTTCCTGCCTATTTAAACATGACAACAAAAAAGTTGAATCTGTTTATATAACAAGTTGTTGAATATCGAAATTTATTGCCTGTTGGAGCCCAAATAAGCAAGCCCAAATTTCTGCTTTATTATTTGTTGTATACCCGATATTCTTGGAAAAAGCAGAGACGAAATTTCCAACATCATCTCGGATAATTCCACCAATACCCGCTATTCCCAGGCCTTTATTTGACGAGCCATCAGTGTTGATTTTGAACCAGTTTGTCGGGGGAGGTTTCCATTTGAGAGTTAAAGTAATTTTCGGAGGTTTAGGTTGGGTATTTTGGAGGGAATAGTGTGTTGACATATTCTAGATTAAAAAGTTATTAATAGGTTTATTTTGGAAAATGAATTCATTTCTAGCTTTCCACATCGACCAAAATAGTATATTTTAAATTTCTTATTACTTTCCAGCCCCAAAAAATTTTTAAATTTTAATTTTGACCCCAAAATAGTTTTTTCCGTTAATAACGGACATGTGACGGCAGAAAATCGAAAGTGTTTAAAATTGAACCTTGGAGATGAACGTTGTTCATTTTGGAACAACGAAGACCAAAAGTGGAATCAGGCCAAAAATGAAATATCAAGAGTGTAATTCTCCCTCAATAGGCATTATGGTGTAATAATGGTGGGAGTGATAGTAGTTATCCATAATCTCCACGTATGTTTAACACTCCCCTACCTTTTTTCTTTTTCTTCTTTTTTTTTTTTTAACTATGAAGGCCTGAAAAACTATCGTACAATTCTCTTGTAAAAAGTTGTTCTCATACTTTATTGCTTAAAATGAAATGCTAAATGTCGTTTATATTTTAATAATATGTTTTATATAACTTCATGGGTTTTTCAATTTGATTCGTTAGCCAACATACTGGCCCACTAGGCAACGGGGCAACAACGGGCTACCACAAGCCTACCCTGAAAGTCCATGGAAGATATCGGTGTCCAATAGTAATAGGGGCTCCCTTATAAGCTCACACAAAATCTCACATTTTTCCAATGTGTTTGAAATGTTACATTTCTAACTTCAAATGTAATTTTGACTGTCTTGTTTTCTCAAATTGGTAAAAGTTTCAAACACAAAATTTGTAATTCTTTGAGTTAGTTTCTTATCCAACTTGATTCATGTACACCTTTCTCATTTGTCTTCTAATGTAGAAGCTATTCAATTTGGATTATAAAGCTAAGTCAAAGAACTACATATTCAGTGATTTGACGTTTGCTATATTTTAGAATAAAAGGGGTCAAAATTACATTTGTAATCAGAACGATACCAGTGAAATTGAAATGATTTTTATTTTTTAAAAGATGCTTACAATCTCGCTATCACCAATACATTCAATGACCTAATGCACTGATCCAACACAGAATACACATCTAATCTCAAAGCAGATTCGACGGGAAGAAAAACCCAATTTAGTACACTAGTGAAACATGAGGTATTTGTATTGTAGACAGAACTAAGTCTAACTTTATTAAAGAGCTGATCATACATAAATCGAAAACCATCACAAATCTCGGGATCAGGACTAACATGTATACGAGCTGGGGGTTCGTGGCGACCATTATATAATAACTCACCGCTCATATCAAACCCCACGGCATTGCTTTAACTATTGACCTACATTACCCAAAAAACATAAAAAAAATATCTACAAAGCATAGAAATCTGCAACTACAAAACTAGGAGTCCGGTTGCTCAGATTTAACAGGCATAGGTGGTGAAGATGAACAGCTTCCGTTTTGGACGTAAAGGCTTTTAGCAACCATAGAGTCTGTCACCAAGCCAACATCAACATCATCAAAATTGAGTGTGCCTCTGAGTTTCCGAGATCTGAAAAAAAAAATCAAACGGAGGAGTTTATATTGTGTGGTCAATGCATATCAAAATTTGGTAGGTTTTATTATTATCAAGTAAATAGAGAAATTACCCGTTCAAACGGTTATTAATTGCGGTCAGGTCCTTGGAAGGGCTCTGGTAAGCATGAGTACTTTCCCCAACACATGCATAATAGCTTTTAGAGCTATGAGAAATTAATGCATCCATCTGCAAAAATTCGTCAGAGATTATAAAATTGATAATAATATCAAACAATGTGTCACAAAATAAACGGAGGATGTGCACAGCTTCTTCTTATACCTTAGATGATCGCAATGGAGAGACATAAACATTGTGTGCTGCAGATACTTTCTTCGGTGACATGTCCGGAAGACTTGGAAATGGAGATGGTTTGGGTGATGCTGGACATGGACCTAATCGGGTCACAAATGATAAGGCCATATATATATATATATATATATATATATATATATATATATATATATATATAAGATCAAATTTACAGGCTAGTTTCTCTTATTTATTTGCTTCCGTTTATTTCTCCAATAGTGTCGAAAGAAAAGTTGGGCAAAGAACACTAACCATCTATATTATTCTTGGTCTCCGGGGACTGAGAAGTAGTTTGTGTCGAACCACCTGGGGCAAGCTCAACTAGGAGTGGTTTTACCGCAGGAACAAATATTTCATTGTAAAATGTTATAATATCAATGTGATCTGGCCCGTTTTTCTGATTTAAAAAACAATCAAATGAAGAAAAAAAAACGTAAGAGATGATGCAAAAATAGTGTCTCAAAGCAAGAGGTTATGCAAAAAGTAAGTATACCCCATTGCGACGCTGAGCTGTCCAATCGACATAGACACTACGAAAAACTTGTGGTTTGCATTGAGGTTGCTTCCGATAATTGGAAATGATTTCTTTGAATGTCAGGTTCAGTTGGGAAATCTGCAATTAAGAAATTGATGTTATACAACAATAGCAAAGAGTAGCAGAGTATATCAACCTCAAAATAAGTCAAGAAACTTAAAGCAGACCTTAGCTACTCCGTAAAAGCAGCAAAGGATAATTTGGTCAATATGTCGGTTGAAAAACAGAGTTGTCCGTTGACCAAGGATCTTTTGGAAAAGGCAGTAGACAGACTCTCTTATCTGCTGGGAAAGCTGTAGCCTTTCAACCATGCCATTTATTCTTACAGCAGCTAACTTCACAATCTAATAAATAGAGTGAAAATTAGATTTGTAAACTGAAATAGGAAGATATATCAAATGGGTAATTGACATTAATGTGTGAGCACGTTTCGCAATAAGAGATATATTATTCAAAAGTTCCATATAAGACTGGCAACAACATCCTTGAAAAATTAAGTCTGAAGTAAATTTTAGTAATCTAATTCACCGACTAGCAGATTGATCAACTGAAATGCCTACTCGAAGAGTACACAAGACGGCCCTTTCTTACGAAGATTTAACAAAACATTGATGTAATTAGACAACACAAATTTTCAAGATTGGTTCATCCATTATATAAAATTATGGATTCGTACTACTAGTGACATTTTGGAGATTTGAATATGTGGCCTATTTCCATTAACTACCTCTTCAAGTTTATAAATAACAAATTCCTGCTTGAATTTTTGTCTCTATTGTGCAAATTGCAGCTATTACAGATGGGCAATATGTAGAACAAAGATAAATTTAGGGGTGATTTTGTAATACCTCGAGCCTGGAAGGGGTATTTATAATTTATAACTAAAGAGGGTAGTTTTTATAACCAACCCAATAAAACATATCAGGTGATTGGTTAACTGCATGTATACCTTGCTGAAGAACACATTGACTGCTGTTTCTGCACAAGTTTCCCCTCCACCACCTGGATTTGGTCTTGTAGGACTGTGAACAAGTAGAACGATAAGAAATGAACAAGAAGGTTAGAAAATAATGCTCGTTGATAAATCTGCCAATTTTCTAAGACTTAAGATGAAATTACCTGGCAAATGCAGACTGCAAAAAAGGTGGTGGAATCTTCGGTTTCAGATTGTTCAGGGCTAAAAAGCGATCCTTCACCGGCGAAGTGAATGAGTTCCGCTCAACTAATACACTCCGGTACTCAGTGCACAATCTTTTCGGTGAACAAATATCTCCATTTTGACCTGCAATATTATTTTAAGTGTGTCATTATGAAGCATGATTCACCTACCAAAAAAGCACAATGCCTACGAACTAAGGTTCTGGAACATGATATCAATACTTAAAAGGAACAATCTTTTTCTGAAGATATCTGAAAATTCATTACCTTGTTTTTCGTTCTTCAGCAAGGATTGCATGGGAGGTGATGCCCCACACGACACATCAAAGTGCATGGCAATCGCATCCAAAGATGGCATGGGTTCAGCTAATAAGCCAAGACGACTTATCTCTGTGGAAAGGGTTGATCTTGCTACTATCAAGGAGTTATACATTGAAGAGCCTTTTTCCCAAACCATGCTCTCCAAAAGTCGTTCTTCTAGAGAATTTAGATGTCTTCTGAGTTCTCTCGGGAGACTTTCCTCATGTCTGATGAAGCTCTCTATCACCTTACTGAGATCAAAAGCTGTTATCCCTGTTCTCTCCAAAACAGTTGGGAACAACATCGTCACAGTTTTATGCGTTGCCAGAACAAGCTCAGCAGAACAAGCAAGCATACATCTGTGAAATCTCTCATTGGTTAGCAAAGATGTTAAATTGTTTGCATGCAAAATCTGTGACTCCGCTGTGCACATTGCTTGCAGAACCCTGAAGTAAAGCTTCATTGCTTCCATTCGACGGTGTTGAGCCCACATGTTGTCCATCAAGCTTGCGTTTTGCCCTGGACCACTACTTGGAAAGATGGCCTCGAGTATTATCTGTGCCCTCCTAGTGACATCAGCAGTCACATCCCTGTCACATGACGACAGGAATCTCTCCAGATCAGCTGAAGGTTTAGATGGAAGTGGAGCTATAACTGTCCTTAGCCATTTTGCAGTTGTCATTGCAGTGCTGACAGGAGTAGCTGCTATCTTGTATATGCCACCATTCGAGTGACTTGCAGGAGACCGGTAAGGAGATAATGGACTTGTAAGTGTCTTTGTTGGGGAAGATATAACGTCCAGTTTCCTCTGAAGAATAAAAAAAGATATACATAACTTATAGCAACAAAAACTTGTACATTAGTGAAAACTCTTGAACATTTCACTAGAAACAAACCTTAGCTCCACCTCCATTCGTGGTTACAGCACCTCCAGATAAGCTACCTGAACCTAGCAGGCTGTCATTCTCATTGATGAAAATCCTCTCGTCCAATTCACCCACATTTTTATTTGCGGCATCATAATCTGTCTCTAGTAAGACTAAACTAGATGACAAAGATGATTCATCCATCAGATCTTCAAAGTAAATCAAACCATCTGCAGTTGGACATTAGACATAACAATAAAAACGTTGCATGAATGACATTAGACAGTCAATAATATGACAATAATACATCACTACAAACACATTAGACTAACCTGTGATAATATTTTCCAAGTTTTCAGGTTTACGTTCAGAAGCCAAGCAAGGCTTTTTACTCAGAATGTCAGCTATCAAGCTGTTTGCTTTTTCCATAGTTTTCTTTAACTCGTCTTCTGAGGTCTCATACATATTGCAAAGTGATGCAAGTAGGTCAACCTTGTCACCTTTCATAACTGCAAAGGATTTAACAAACTGAATGACACCTTGAACAGAGAAATAATGCCACAGAATAAATTTAATAGCCAAATAGAACTTTTCTTGGTAGAATATCAATATGATGAAGCGAGAATGTACCAATGTGTTCAGAATCACTGACGTTGAAATTTCTGAAGCGAGCAGGGACATGTATAAGGAGTATTGCCTGTTAACAGTTCCATACGAAGCAACAGTATAATTAGTCGGTGTACAGCAATTAGCTTAAGAATCAGTTTATTGTAACGAGTTTGCAGAACACAGGACCAAGTGCATATGAAAGTACAAATCTTTGGTGTCGTGTGTTATATAAAAAGATTCATAGTTAACTTTCCCTGACATATTCTAGTTCTAAAGATTCATAGTATCACCAATAAAGCATTAAAATCCACTGACCAGTACAGAAACTAGACCATGAGTGCATGTTACTAGGTCCTTGCAAAGACTGAAGACATGTACACGAAGCGCCAGAAATAGTAACCATCCGAAACGGTAATAGTCTGATTCACAGCCAGAGGTATTGGCAACAACTAATTGCTTGTCATTATTACCATCCGCAATAGAGAAAAATTCCCGAAACGCACGCTCGTACTTCCTGTCATGAAAGATAACAAAAATCTACTCACGATTTGAATGAATGGTGAAAACGTCATTTGAAATTTGGAACAGATAACTCATCTAAACAATGAAAGATTCACTATCATTAACAACACAGCTAATTGCTGTCAATGCATGACTAAACTTTAATTTTGTTGTGAAACCAAATTTGGCGATGAAAAATACATTCTATTAATAGTCAACGGGAGAAATATGCTTAAAAGATGAAAAATGGAACAGCAAGAACCATTCTTTTTCTCTGCCAATGCATAGCTACACGTTAAAAAAAAAAAAAAAGAATGCCATATTCAAGGAAAATGCACAAGTAAGAGTCATATTCCAAGAAGATTGGCAATTGGGCACATAATGCAAAACAAAAGTTAACGTTAGAGTGCGACTTGGAGTTTAAAATGCGCAAGGAACTTGAGCATATGAATAGCTAAATTGCTATGTTGCTAAATAGCTATTGAGTTGAAGATCAACAGCTAAAAGTGCATAAAATTTACAGCTAGTAGAAGGAGAAGGAAACTATATTTAGTGAATACTTACTTGCTCAAAACGGTCAAATGCACAAAGTTGGTTTGTGATTCCTTTGCCTGATGTACCAAACGAAGGAATGAGACAAAATAACAACAGAAATAAAAATCACAAGGTGAAACATGTTTGATCGAATAAAATATCTTGCTTGAATATAATATATCCCATGATCACTCAAGTACCTTGAGTCTTTTCTCCCAATCCCCGCCGTAAAGGTTATTCAAAATTGATCCAACCTTGATCAGAAACTGATGAAGTTCTTTGTAAAAATCAAAAACACTGCAGGGTAAAATGCAAAATCACAATGATGTACAGTTACTAATTTTCTAACATGCAAAGCAAAAAGTGATTCCCAACAAAAAGTAATATACTTGAGCCTTGCTGCTTTCAGAATCTGGCATAAAGAAAGTCCCTTCTCTGCGGGAGCACCATTCTCACTGAGCCTTCTCACTGAGTAGAGAACAAATGCAAACCAATACCGTTCGGCTTCATCCGGCTGATAATAAATAAAAATCAATAAGAAATCATGGACAAAGTAAATTTGACAGAAAATGCCATTCCATCAATGAAAATAAAAATGAATTCAATCGCATTAACAAAAAAATTAATAAATAAATAAATAAATAAAAGAGAATACGGAAAATAATAGCCAATAACACACACCGTCCCAGTTCCAACAGCAGAGAAATTAGTCATCAGAAGATTCTTGCTTTCATTAAACAACTTTGTCGCTTGTGTCAAAAAGTTGTCGTCAACCAACGGTAGATCATTCTGGTTATTATGACATACGGCAAAAAGCAAATGAACAGTTAGTTAAATAAGATAGTTAAAATTTGGATTCATATCTACAAAACATGACAGTTGTAATGAATTATTGTAACAAAAGGCACACTCAAGTATCGACCGTAATGTTAATCCTCACTAATATTATCCGCAAAAATATGAAGCATCTTAAGGAAAGTGAGCGGAGCCAATTAAATATTTAATCTTTAAAGCCAGAGGAACTTATTCACGTTTATTTCGTTTCTTTCCTTTTTTTTTTTTTTTTTTGTTTTTGGAGAAGGGTGAACTTATTCGCTTAAAATTATAGAAAACCAAAAGCTATAAACCACAAATTAACAGAAGGGAAGCACTCAATAAAATACAGAAGAAAGAAAAAAAGGGGGTAAAAAATTGACAAATTAAAGAGAAGACTGATAAAAAAAAAAAAAAAAGAGAGACCTTGCAAAACTGAGCGAAGCGCGCTTCAATGCTGGTGGTCCCACCTCCATCTTCGGGGCTCGAAATCTTCTTAAGCTCCGCCATTAATTTCAGATCTCCGATCTACTCAATTCACAGATCGGACAAAATTACAAGGGAAAAGCAAAACCCTAGTCATGTAGCCAACAAAAATGGAAGGAATTGAAACAACTCACCTGATAATTTCTAGATTTCCAACTTTTAGCTGCTTTGCTGGTGATGTTTCCCCCTTATCTCTATGAAGAAGAGAGAGAAACAGATACAGAGAGATAGAGAGAGAGAAATAGGTTTACGTTTTCTATTTTAGCATTTTTTTTAATTAGCGTTTGGGGGAAATAAACCCTTTTAGCTCTTCTCGCGCGGGAAAACATAGCATTATATGCCACATCACCATGCATCATAGCCGACACCATACATCACACCCAGTACACATGTGACGCGTGTCCCTAGGGCTTATTTTACCGCCAAATTTTGGCTCCGCCCGCCCAAATAAAATCTTCTTTTATTTATCCATTTTTTACCGTGATGATAAATAGTAGTAACGCTTCTTGAGACTTGAAGAAATAGTCTTCACTGTGTATCAAAATAAAAAAGGCAATAATCTTCGATCTAATTTTCAAGGTCCCTTGAAATTATGAATTGTAATATTTTGCGAGCTAAGAAAACATTAAACATTTTAGTGGTTATTGAAATGCATTTTTGTTTTGATATCTATGAATTGTGTATTTAGAAATAGGGTTGTTCATGGTCGGGTCGGTTGATTATCGGCCGATTATCGGCCCGACCCGACCAACCGACTCTTACAAATATGAAAAACCATTATCGGCCCGACTATTGTGAGTCAGGTAATGGTTGGCAACCGACTTTGTCGGTTGCCAAAACGGATCGGTTGAAATTATCGGCTACATATTAATTAAAATAAAAAAATAAAAAAATTATGCTATTCCTCTATCAAAATTCAGCAACAAACATTCCAATATTTCATGCCCAAAATCAAATTTCAACAATATCACATATTAAAAATTAAATTTCCAAAAATAATATAAAATACTAAAACGAATCACTTTCAGCCATTCACACTTTCACATCACAAAATTCTGAAACTTTTAATTTTAATTTGAGAAACACAAAAATTCGTACCTTAGAATTTAGAAAGAACTAGAAAGGGCTAGAGGTAAATCTTGGGAGAAAGCAACGGCGCGTAGGCGGCGATGGGCTGATAGAGAGAGACGAGAGATATATCGGCGACTAGAGAGAGAGACAATAGTCGAAGGTAAGGCGAAAATGAAGAGTATAGTTTTTTTAGTTGTGTATTTTTATTCATTTCACCGAAAGGTCAAAAATTAAATATTGAAACTAGTATCGGTTGGTCGGGTAATATTAAAAACATAAAGAGAAAAAAAAAAAAAAAAAAAAAAAAAAAAAAAAAAAAAAGTCGGTTGGTCGGGTAATATCGGTCAACCGACTTTTCAACAAATTAGAAACTATACCCGACCCAACCATGTATGGGTCGGTTAAAATTATCGGCCCGACCAAAATGAGTCGGTTGGTGGGCAATTATCGGCCAGAATAGTCGGGCAGATAATGGGTCGGTTGTCGGGTAAAACCGACCCATGAACAACCCTATTTAGAAATATTTTATATTTTCTTAATGTTGTTATGTGTTTCGTTAATTTGTTTCCAATGTTTAGAATAGTTGTATCAATTTATTTGAAAAAGAAAAACATAAGTGGCTTTATTTTTGTCTTCGGGCACCTTAGGCCTCCCGAACTCTGGTATCGACTATCGACCATGAAATTATGGGATGTGGCCGTTGTGTGGGCTGGTGTTGACGGTGTGTATGGAATGGGTGCGACTGGCAATGCTGGAAGCTGTAGGAGTAGAGGTGCACGAAATGATTGTTATGGAGATCAATTTGGATTTATCGCGAATTAATGTATCTGGACATTGCTCATGTATGTATTCATTCTCATTTCTGAGTAATTATACTCTTCAACTAAGTCAATTATCAGAAATCTGAATATATATATTTATTCAAAAGTTTATTTTATAGTTAAGGTTCAAAATATATGGAGTTTCAAATGAGAAAAAGGATTAAAAAAGAAAAAAAAGAATTGTTAGGGTTAAATAGTGGAACGTGAATAGCTAATAGTACAATTAATAACAAGGGTGAGCTTAAGTGCAAAGCCACACGCGCGCTGCAGTCGCCCGCCCGGCTCGAACTTACGCCCGGGTCTCGGGGCTTTGGGCTTTGGGAATGTTTGGTTTGGAGTTGGGCCATTTTTTGACCAAATTTAAATTAAGTTTTACGGGCTTAATTAATTAATTCGAATTTAATATTTTTAGCTAATCAAAGAGCGACATAGATGACACATCATCGTCCAGTATGCGACATGCATATCCATGCGCGCGCCAAGTGTGGTACCTCATCATCCAAAAAAGTAGATATCTAAGTTGAATTGGTGCATGGTCCGTGCGAAAAGATGTATCACATTTTCAGCCATTTTTCTTTACAAAAGTTGTGTCTTTTGGACACAAATTTTCCAAACCTATAAATAGAGCTCCTGCATAATGGAAATTCACTAATTCGAATCCAAAGCATTCTCTGCATTGAAAAATCATATTGTTCATCTCCTCATTCATGTCTAGAGAGTCCAAAGCTCACGTTTTGATCGTTGTAGTTCGACTTTTGTTGTGCTGCAAAAATCGAAATCCGTAAATAGTTTTATCTTGGGTACAGTTGGCTAAAATGTAAGCATATATACAGGTCAATCTTGTCTTACAGAGAAAGAATTTAATTCTCGCATCGACTTCTTTTTCGTCCTAAATTTGTGTCCAAATATTCATTTTGAAATATACATCATATTTAACAGTTTATTTTGGCTAATTTATGAGGTAAATTATTTTAAGATTGATATGCCATTGAAGTACTTCATTTATTTGATGAGGCTAAAACCTTATGCAGTGATATTATCAATGCTTGGTTATGTTTTCATTTCACATGAGACTTTTTCCCGAAACAAATTTGTGTTAAGGTTTTCAAAAAAAATCTTAAAATAACTTCTAAAGTTTATCTTTCCCTCATGCATAATGTGACTGCTACATTAAAAACAAAAAAAAATTGGTTGCAACTAAAAATTATCTTCACTAAAAAACAAACAAGCATCACTTTTTTATTTTTTAAATTCTTCTTTAGAATATATTTTCCTAGCACTTATAAACATGAGTGAGGACTAGATTATATTTTATCGCATCTCAATTTATAATAAACATATTTTTATTCTCTAATTATTCTCTCAAAATATATTTAGCCAAAATAAAATGAAAATAACTCGCCAGACCGTATCCAAGCACTAGCATCCAAAGTTTTTGTTGCTCTCAAAAAAGTGGAGTAGAGATTTTGCTTAAAAAAATGTTAGTAGAATAATAATGATTATTCTTTGGGTTAATAAGATATAACCCCTCATTAGGAAAAATATTAGGACTAACCATCTTACATTATTTTTAATGGGTCAAACCCCCTCACAATTAGCAATTAGTACTGAACTACCCCTATAATTTCTAATAGCAATGACCCCCCCACTATTTTTCCCAAAGCTGCATATCTTCATCCGTTTCATCAAAATAATTTATCCTCAATTTCCTCTACGGTGCTATATTTGTGCCAAGAAAATCGCCAAAAAAAATCTGCAAATATATCGGATCATTTCCCAGACACAACAATGCCCTAGTTTGCTACATTTCTTAAAAAAAAAAAAACAACAAATAATATTTGTGTGAGAATCGTTGAGAAATACAAGTCAACAACAATGGTGAAAGGTAGCAAGAAGAAGACAGGTAGTTTCCTATACACTCGTCGCTCCCCTCGACGTCTATTAACCTAATTTATGTACATTTACCACATAATTTATGTTTTTGACACCCTCTTCAGCGACTCCGAAGGACAAAATCGAGGTCTCCTACAGAAACGGTATACAGCGGTATGCGACGACCATATGCGACGGTTCAGATGTCTTCCATGGTTGATTACTCAAAAATGGAGTTTGTTAACACGATTGTTTTTTTAGATCTACAGATCTATGGTCGCACTATTTGTTGACTCATAAATATTTGTTTTCCTATGAAATTTGTTTTATCAGAGTCCAAAACAAAGAAAAGACCAGTGTTGTCGAAAACATAAAATATTGTAGTCATCTACACTCAGAGTCAACTATAAAATCGGTAGTTCACTATATTTTTCCCAAAGTCAACTATAAAAATTAGATAGTCAACTATAATTTTTACGATGTCAACTATAAAAAAATGGTAGTTAACTATATTTTTGCCAGAGTCAACTACAAAAATTAGATAGTCAACTATAATTGTTCAAATGTCAACTACAAAAAATTGGTAGTCAACTATAATTTTTACATTAATTTACCATATTATTTTTCAATTTAAGATACTATGGTGTTATAAAATTGAATACTCATGATAAAGATCTCATCTTCATGAAAACATGAATTTCATGGAGTAGAAAATAAATTGATTTTAACGACCAAAAAATGAGATATAGAAGAAAAGGTACAATAGTGAGAAGAAATAGAGGAAAAAAAATGAAACAGAAACCGACGAGAAGAGATGAATTGAGGGAAGAGAAAGAAGAGAGATAGAGAAGAGAGAGGGAGAAAAAGAAGAAAAGAAAAAGATACGGGAAAAGAGGAAATTGGGAAGGAGAGAGAAGAGAGAGAAGATAGGAGAGAGGAGAGAGAAAAATAAGAAGAAGAGAGAGAGAGAGAGAGAGAGAGAGAGAGAGAGAGAGAGAGAGAGAGAGAGAGAGAGAGGGAGAAAAAAACAAGAAAAGAAAAAGATAGGGAAAGAGGAAATTGGGGAGGAGAGAGAAGAGAGAGAAGGGAAGGAAGAGAGAGAAGATAAGAGAGAGGAGAGAGAAAAATAAGAAGAATAAAAGAACACATTAAAAAATTGAGGAAAATAAGGAAGAGCGAGAAATTAACGGAGGATATAAAATGACGGATATGAGAGAAATAAGGAGAAAAAAGAAAGTTGAAGAAAAATATGGACAAAAAATGGCATAATAAGCAATAACATAAGCTTAGGGGGTCACACAATTCAGAAAATATTAAATGAGTTTGTCTACAACTATTATTTTACCTAATGAATGGGTTATCCCTCATTGTCCGTTATTCTTTTTGTATTTACATATGTTATTTGATTTGAAAAGGAAACTATCAATCATTTTACCCATCCGTATTTACTCTGTATAAGAAAAAAGTAAATTAAAAATAGAGTTATTAAATGGAAAAAAAAAAAAAAAAAAATTAGCAGCAGTTGAAAAACTAACGGATGAAAGCGCAAAGAAGTTGAAGAACCATTCAAAACTCAAACTAACGGTTTTCATGAATGAGACACCACACCACTAACTTCGCTACAACTACTCTCTATTATCCAATATTAATTTACAAACAAATTTGTATGCATATTTGTGTGTATACATAGTACTTGCAAACTTAATCATCCCACTACAAAAAAAAAAAAATAATGGCATTCAGTGCAGCGGTAAGTTCGTTCCAACAATTAAATTAAAGTAATCCCCCTTTTGGTTTCTTACACCAAATTAATATATAATTTTTTTTTTTTGACAGAAACAATGCAAATCAATAATAATGCAGCGCAGCATGTACAGCCACTTGTCCATTCGGAATATGGCTTCAACGACAACACCAAAGATGGCGGCGGCATCAGTGGCTGCTGCCGCTGCTAGCGGTGCAATGCAGCAACAAGGGGGGAGGATGAAGAGGATAGGCGCAATATACGGACCAATGTGGGCGGTGATCGGAATAATGGGAGGATTAGTCGGAACGGCATGCTGCATTGGGATACACACCGCCAAACAACAGCTATTCCATTCACCGTCTGTTCAGGTTACCAAAAAGAGAAGGGAGTGCGTTCCCGAGGTTGACACTCCTGAAGCTGTTATCCGTTCAGCCGACAAGTTCGAGAACAAATCATTCCTAAGGAAGGTCGCTCACATTCAGGACAACCGTAACCGTGCAGTTCATCCCGATCCATACGCTCGGTATTTTATTCTTCCATTTTTATCTAATTATGTTTATTTGACATAGATTAAACGTGTTTTACTTAATATGGCAGGTCTCGGGAGGCTGAAACCTTACACTCGGTGGGCGTTCGCACTTAAGCATGTGGAATTGAGTAATTCAAATGTTTGTATATAATAATAGCAGCTTATATATATTAGTAAAATAAATGGTTAGATTTTAGAAGCTAACCTCTGTTACCCCTGTTTTAAATGTTTGTTTTTTTTGGTTTGGATTATGCATTGTAATTTGTATTTGTGCCCCTCTGCTTAGTTCAATGCCTATAGCAGCAGTAGTGAGGTGCTTAACTGTATATTTGTTTACTACAATAATAAAGTTTGTTTAATTAGTATTTATTAACTGTCGCTAATGGCTTCTTACTTCTTATATGCAAAGAGGTGAAGTGTTTCGACTTGTTATAATCCTTAGAAATCATACTTTCACAAAAATTATAATCCTTAGAAATCATACCTTCTTAGTTGTCATAGTATAAATTGATGGTTAAAGAAATGAAGTATATTGAATGAAGAAAAAATTAAATAAACGTGTCATACATGTATTCTACAACTCCAGCAATGGGCGACATCACAATTTAGTTGTTTAACAAAACTGATGAACACATTTCATTTAAATGCATTTTGTAGTAACATAAAATTATCTAAGTACGAACATCCATAAACCAATGTTTATAGTTCTATACCTGTTGTTGTAATCATAAGACATTACAATTATAAAGTACAATAGTCGTGATCTTACTAAAAAGTTTTCAGTAATCATAAGAAAAATTATACTATCATGTCCTTTCATTTGTAAGAGTTTACAAATTCGAGCACTGATGATTCGCTTCTGGAGTTGCTTGTCGAAGTCAAAAGTTGAACACTTTCTGCCTCTTGCTTCTTTTCCTCTTGGCATATGCATCCGCAATAAAATGAAGATTAACATCTGGGGAAGCCCTGACAAAGTGTTAAACGTACAACTTGAATCACACTAAATAGAAACAAAAAGATTTAACGTACAACTTGAATCAGGATTCTAAGTGATAATAAGATTTAACGTACAACTTGAATCACACTAAATAGAAACACAAAGATTCTAATAAAGTTACTTGCTCAACCTTAAAAAAAATTAAAATATTATTCGTGTAACGGGCTAGTGCATTGAACGAATGGTACAATGAATATTATACACGTAAAATATTAAAAAAAAATGTATTTATTGAAAATAATAATAAAAGTAATTTCATAAATTATAAGTTATTAATTAATGTATAAATTAATAATTATTAATTTATCGATAAGTTAATATTTCGGTAAATTAATGAATTTTTGCTGGTTCCAACTGTATTAATTTATAGAGTTTTAATTGTATATTAAAAAAGAAAAGGAAAAAGAAAAAAACAACAACAAAACAACTCATCACTGAAACAAAAAATGCGATGATTGTATTTTCTCAAAAAATAATTGCATATATTTGATTGAAGGACGGTGTTGAATCAGATTTTCAGAGATCACATGCAAGAGTAGTTGTAACTCAAATTTTGAAAACAATCATATATAAGAAATAGAATTGAAATGTAAATCACAGACAATGTAAAAAACTATCAGGAAAAAATGGATGGTTAATTTTTTTTTTTTTTTTTTTTTTTTTTTTGAGTAATGGATGGTTAACTTTAATGCCCATCACTTAAAAAATCCCCAAAAATCAACTCCAAATTTCATACAACCTGAATATAGTGAGCTTCACCAATATCCCTTGAAACTAAGAATCATGTAAAGTAAAAATCATCTGGAGAAAAAAGGTGAAAATAACTTGGTGTGAGAGGTTACAGTTTTCCTAAATTGTTGCGACCTCTTTGATAGAAACATCAGCACTACACTACAGTTTTTTCACACCCACCGGCAGCGGAGGGAGATATTTTCGGTCCACCCGCGGAAGTTGTTGTAATATTTTTTCATCCAATCTGAAAAATAACTTGGTTCGAGAGACCGTGTGTTGCAGTTGGAGATTGTGTTTGCAGTAGTTAATTTTGGAGACACGAACGTGTTTTATTTCTTCTAAAATAGTCCTAGGACTATCAAAAAATTACGAAAACTGCCCTAGGGTTTGAAAACCCTAAAGTGCCACGTGTCAGCAAATGAAGTTAGGGATTCTCATAGATTAAAAAAAATTGAGAAATTGAAATTAAACTCGATTCGTCTGTATATATACAATATATATGAAGTTCATAACTCACCATACTGCAAAAGAATCTATCTTTCACCGGAACAATTAAAGGCAACTCAACTGATCAGGCATCTACTGTGTAACATGGAAATTACGAAACCTGCTGGAGTTCCGTACGTACGATGATCTCGGCTTTAAACAACGGATATACACTTCAAAATCATATTCATCTTTTAAATATGGAACTTATAAACTACTTTGCTACGAAAATAGTTTTAAAAAAAATACAAATTAATGATCGCTTTTCTAAAGAAAATAAAAATAATTTACTATTAATTAATTATCTAAGAAAGCAAAAAGAAATGTTTAACCAAATATTTACCCAAATTAAAAGGATTTTTATGAAAAATAGTTATTTTGTTTCCTTTCAACTGAGGAATTCCGTTGATGAATGAAATTGAAAAGAATGGAAGCATATAGAAATTATTTTTACGACACCCAAACTGAAAAAGAAGACACAAGAAATTACGATTTGGCAATAAAATACGAAAAGTTGATCACATCTGGGTACAGCAAACACCATTTTGATAAAACAAAAGATCAATTAATTAGAGCAAAAATGCACCGAAAATCAAGCTTAGAGAATTTGTAAATATCAATTTCACCAGAAGTCTCAAATTCTCAGACGAAAGAACAGGTTCTAAAGTGTTGTTTCATGGTCTCTTGATCTTTGAGAAAGTTCCAGTTTCCGAAAAGTAAGTGCTTTGAGTACCACCGCCAAGCTGGTTTGCCTGAGGGTTTGAAAGCTCAATTCCCTGAAAACACATATACGATATACACATTTTAGTAAATTCCGTCAAAGTATCAAAGGAAAAAAAATAGTAACTACAAAGTATATGTTCATATCTCGGTTCAATCCTAATTGTGTGCGTGACTGTGTGATGTAAAGAGAAGCATCAAAAAACCTGAACAGGTGTGAAAGCCAAACTCGAAGTAAGTCCAGAAGTTGCGCCACCTGTTCCGTAATCTCTCCCCTTAAACCTGAAAATTTAAAGTGCGTGAATAAATGAAGTGAGAATTTTCTCAATTGGGTTAATTTCTCGTTTAGTAACCATCAAAGGCAACATAAAAAGGGTTAAACACGAGTAATAGCATAACACCGTACTTCTTGGCTACTTTAGCAGCAAGCCTGCTTTGACCAGCTGATACACGTAGCTTCCCACTACCAGCTTGACCTAGCATTCCATATCCTTCTCCCAGTCCATCACCTTCAATAAAAATCACCAATTATCAGAAATATTATCTAAATCAACAGCCCATGACTTTGAAAACGATATATAAAACACAACATTATTAATTAAACAAGTTTTAAACAAACAATTTAATATAACTCGTGAAGTTTGGCATAATACCTAGTGAGCTCTCCTCTGGTATGCCGAACTGCATTCTGTTTGCCAGCTTACGCATGTCTGTAATAGCATATCTGATACAAGGGTTCAACCACATTAGGTTCTTGAAATTAAGAAAAAAAAAAAAGAATTAACTTCAAACATGACCTCAAATATTTCTTTTAACATTATAAAAAAGTAAAAGAAAAGGAAATTTCAAGTACCTTTCTTTCATCTTTCTTAACCTTCGACCACCTCTTTTCTTTTTAGGCTCGGAGTCAGGAACGGGAAGAGGTTTAGGCTGCTTGGCAGGGGGAGGCTCTTGCCATTTCTCAATCTTTTTCTGAATATCTGCACGAAAAGTTCTCCCAGTTTTTCCAGTTGGATCTCCTCTAGTAGAATCTACACGTGCAGCAAGTGTAGACTTTGCAGCCAAAAGCCGGCACGCACGCATCTTCAAAGAAGGAGGAGTGCCCTGAAATATCTCCGTTTGTTCAATATAACCAACACGAAACTGTGACGTGGCAGTTGAAAATCCAGCTAAATTCTTCCTTTTGGCACCGAGTAGCTGAACATTGCATGCAGGCATTTTCGCCAAAGCCGAAAGGCCGCCAGCTGTCCCCATAAGTTTGGCAGCGACAGCACTTCCAACTATAGCAGAAAGATTAGGAGCAATATATCCCATTCGACTCTCCACAAAATCAAGAACATTCTTCTTTGCAGAATCTAGAGCGAGAGCACGGTCACATGCATCAATTGTCTTTTGCAAGACATCTTCTGGAAGAGGCTTCCCACTCGTGGTTGAGGCTGTAACAGAAACTACCATAATAATGGCAGAGGGTAAAAGACCTTCTAGGTCAACAAGCGTCAGGTCAACTTCATTCCCAATCTTTTTAACAACCCGAGCATAATCAATAGGGTGATGAACCAGAGACTCGAGCTCGGGGAATTTTAGGCGGTACTTGTCGCGGATAAAATTGTGAATGATCACTATTTCATTTTCAATATCAACCGACAGTGCGTTACAATCAACTATCAACTGGTATTCTGGGTCATCTTCTAGAACAATTGCTTGAGATGAATTCTCAGAACCCCTTTCCAGCGCATTTTCAACTTTCTGCAAAGCATCAAAAAAATATATAAGTCGAAGCCATAACACTAAAAAAAATTAAGTGGATTTGATACATCATTAACTCTAAACATCACGGACCTATAGAAGGAAATGAGTTGCTGAACAATCAAGGAAATGCAACAGTAAATTCACCCTAGAGTAAAGGCAAACATCATCAAGTACTGAAAATACATGAAGCGTAATACTTGGTGGATAACATTAATTAATTGTCTAAAATCTAAACTAAACTGACCATTATGATGTCTGCAAAGCGCTGAGATTTTTGTAGTTTCGACACACTATCGAGATCATCGTAATTAAGTGCTTCTATATCTGCCAGATCACCATCTATATCTTCTTCCATTTGCTCTGCATTGTCATTGTCCTCTTCCTACAAGTGAAGTACTGCCAATTTAGGGACACAAGCAAGATAAAAACATATAAATACAAATCGAAGTTTGTGAAACAAAATTTAAACAAGAAAGGCGTCCAACAAGTACAGAACAAAGTCATATTTACATGCAATCATATAGAAAACTTATGACTTTGAAATAAACTGCAATATACTAACCTGAAGGTCATCTTCATTATCTGACAATTCATCAAGATCAGCCAGAAAGGAATCATTAAGAGTTGCCTGAAACAAGAAGCATATTTACCGTCATCGTCAATTTACTGTATACGATCATACAACAGTTCTGGAAATTAAAGCAAAAGTAATCATGTGTAATACAACTTTTAGTCCAAACAACCAAGTTACATAACATGCATAAGTATAGTTGACTGCAACGAAAGAAGTTTCACAAACAAGACAACAACCGTTACTTCTGTAGTAAGCAAAGACAAAGTGTTCATTCTAGCTATATATCAATATAGCTAATCAAAAGAAAAGGAGATTCTCAAACATGACAACAACAAATAATTAGGTGACAGCAGATGAAAATTGTTCACTCCGACATTGCACTTTAGTATTTTGGAAAAGCTGTTCGGGTGGGAATAAGGAACAGGTTTCTGTAAGGAACAAAGAACCCTGTCTGTACTCATACAAAAAGGGTTATCTAGTATCAACAGACCACCAGAACAAAATTCCTGACGACTGATCTATTACATCGTCACACTACCAGTAGAGCAAGATATGAACAAAGATAGAAGCCAAATAAGAGATGGTATGAGATGGAACACTACTTCAGTCAAAATTGCAGAATCATAAGATATGCAGCAAACAGGCCTCTGCATTTACGCATTCAGAAACTAATTATACTTCTCCATACACATACAATTTCAAATGACCTACAGCAGGCACCAGTTCTTCACCGGTGCGAAGCATGTATAGAGACAGCTAGTGTTAATAGTATTACCCGAAACTCATCGTCATTGTAAAAAAAAAAAAGAAAAAAAAAACAATAATAAATATTGTATAGTTGTCTTTTAGAGTAATTACATAGTTGGATCATTTGCTATCTTAAGGTCCAGGACATGTCAATGCAGAACTATGAACAACAAGTGGCGACATACTTAGCGCAGACTCTCCTCGACAATGAGGTTATATTTACGTAGCTCTTCATGTTGACAACAAAAAGAACAAGTTATATCGTTCGAATGTGAGGAAATAGTTTTCCCCATCCAATCAAAACTAAACAAGCAACGCAGACACTGTGGGAAGTTCAAAAGTATTGCTCGCTCTGAGACATTTGTAGATCTATGTTGTGCTTTTATAAGTTCCGTTTTCTGATGGAAGTACTTACATCGTTTAGTGACCAAGGCCCAGCAGACTAAAAGTTCTAAGAATACAAATAATGAACACAATTTGAGTGAAAAACATGAACTTGCTCTTAATGTAACAAATGCAATTCTATATTCAAAAGTATCCCCTTTCCCTTACGCATCACATAAACTAGATACAAAAGTTGATATGCTATTGCTAAACGAAGAACAACTCCCCTCTACAAATTCTTCCCATTTGGGCTTTGGGACACCAGTTTATATTCATGCACATGGCAGAAAATATGATACATTAATATTTCATAACAAGATACATTTAAATACAGATTGAAAAAAAAAAAATTCTATGAACTAGAGTTAACATGATCAAACCAACCCTAATTTCTTCACTCCCAGCACAGCACATAATACATATAGAAGTTTTTCACACACTAATTAATAGGGCTTTAACTCAGACGCAGTAAACAAATAGCACAACCAAACAATTGATATAACTGAATCGAAATACAGAACATTACCATATTTTTTTTATCTTACGGTACGAGATTTAAACCTCAAAATTGGTATTGCAGACCTGCAAATAAATTGTAGAGAATCACCCGATAGAAAAAGAACCATATTCATCAATAAGTATAAATAAATACACGGAATTTGGAAGAATAAAATAAAAAATTCAAAACCCTAGGGCACAAATTAAAAGACATACCAACCAGAAAACAATCGCCAGGAAAGAGAGACTATGCAGTCAATTAGTTACTGTATATACTCTCCTACCGAGTATGAAAAAGAGTCGGATAAAGAACGCGATTCTGCTGGAATTTGTATTGCGAAGAAAGATGAACACCGTCGTATTTGGTTTTTATTATTTTGTTCCATCTTTATGGAAAATTACATGTTTAGTCCTCAAACTTTATCCACGTTTTTTAAATTGCCCTATGGATATGTTTGAATGACTATAATAGTCCCTCATGATTCCACTTTTTAACAAAAAAGTCCACCGTTATTTTTCCAGGAGTTTATTGTAACAACTACCTGTGTGTAATCTCTAATTGTCAAAGACACCCGTATTAAAACAATTAGAAAGAACCCCTATAAAAATTAGTCAAAGTCAGTAGGATAAATATGTGATGCCTCCAGTTTCTGAAAATATATATAAATAGGTCATATGTCTTTTTCCACCCTAGTCAAAAACTCAAATTCTAGTTTTAATTTGGCAGACCCCTGATGCATAGTGATGGGATCATTTTACACTTATGTCAGTTTTTGTGAGCCCCCATACGCCTAGCTCCGCTCCCCCTTCCGCAACACCTTCTTGCTGAGCTGAGCTGCCAACTATTATGCCGCCTTTAATCGTGAGGCTAAAGTCAGGGAAGGGGAAGACAATAGATCGGAACAGTTGTGGAGTCCTCTGTCACCGTTGCCATGAGATTGGAGGCCAAAGTCAGGGAATACCAAAGTCTTTGTCGTCGCCGTCGCGAGATCTGAGATCAAAGTAAAGGAATATTTATTTTTGGGGTACTTAATTTGTTTCGAATTTTGTGTGTTTGTGGTTTGATCGATCGTTTTTTCTCTATTTGAGTTGTTCTATCACATATGCTATTAACTGCTCATGATATATGAAAGTGATTTGTTTCAAATTTTCCTTAGTGTACTTCAAATTCGTTAGCAGAAAAATAAAAAAAGTGTATTTCAACCATATTTGTATTGAATTATATTGATTTTTTTATTTGTTATACATATTTCAAAAATATTGTGTCATATTGAATTTGATGTTACATGGAAAACGTGAACTAAGCTTTGCTGCTTGAAATATTATGAAGGATAACTTTGGGAAAATACAACTGTTGAAATTATATAGATTTATGATCATTGTTTATTTTTATTTGTCATGTAATGTAATTAGTATGTTCCATTTCGCTCTTCATTTTTTTACTATTTGTATTTTTTTGACACATATTTTGCTATTTATATTATGAGATGCATAGAAGTGTCTTGAAGTTGGATTTATGTTACAGTGGTCTAAACTTTATGTTACTATATATTATTATACAGGTCATGGGTCGGTTCGATCCGGTTCATGGCTCACTTTGTTAGGAACCGGAATCGACCCATGCAACACACGGTTCGACGGCCCGGCCCGGCGCAGAAATATATATATATATATATATATATATATATGCAAGCCCATTTTTTTATTAGTTCAAGACCTCCAACATAAAAATACACCCTTAATGAAATTCAAAATCAAATGAAAAACCCAAATCATTAAAAAAAAATCGGCGTTACAACACCGATTTTGACTTGTAAAGTCGACGTTGTGTCGCCGATTTGGTTAACAAAAATCGGCCGATTTTCGTGTACAAAATCGTCTGGGTAAACCGATTTGGGAAACCAATGAAAACACACAAACAAACCAATTTCAATCTCAATTTTTTTTCCAAAATCGGCTAAGGCATTGCAACCAACAAGAAGTAGCAATAGATTAATGTTCATCCACGCATATTTATCAAGAATCGATGCTCGATTAATGTTTTCGAATTGACAAAAAAAAGTTTAGTAGAAAGGACTTACTTGTTGGTGGTGGTGCGGTGGTGGTGATGGTGCGGTGGGTGGGTCACTGGTCATCGCCGGTACGGTGGAAGTCTCGCTAGTCGGCGTCTCGGCGGTCTGGCGGCGGTCTGGCGGCGGCAGTCGTGAGTTTTTTTTTTTTTTTTTTTTTCTTTTTGATTTTTTGGTCTTGAACAAATTAGAAATAGGGTTTGTTTGTATTTGAGTATTATTTATTGATAAATGTATATTCGTCCTCTTTGGTCTTGATGTAATAAAATTAGATTAATTTACGAGCTTGAACTAATAAACCCCTTTATGTGGATTTGAACTAATAAAAATGGCTTGCATATATCTGCCGTCATATATATAGGGGAATGTGAATAGATTTTCTCAATTTATTTTTCAGTTCTTTTTAGCAGATTTGCCCTTAAAACGGCGCCCCATTTCGTCTTTATTTCTCCCTTTCCATGTGCAAACTGAATTTTATTTGTATTTTTGTAATACCTTTTTTTTCGTCAGACGAAAATTGTGGGCCCAACTCCTTCTTGTTCCTTTTCTTTTCTGAAACTAGTAATACACCCGTGCGATTCACATGGTATTCATCGTAAAACAAATATTGAATAATAAAAAAGTTTCTCAAAATAGTAATATTAATTGTTAATAAGTAAAAGAAAGAAGTAGAAAATATTCAAAAATAAAAATAATTTGTATGGTGTAAGTGATGAAATAAGCCGAGATAAGTGAAAAAAACTAAAAATCGAAGGTTTTAATTTCCGCATACAAAAGAACGAATATATAGTTGGTCCCAAACTTGTACAACCATAATGAAATGAACGTTGAAAACTTGAATTGTTTGATACCAACCGCCCTAAACGCATGCAACAAATCCAATACAATGCAACTGACCTGCATACGTTGTACAATGGTCATACGAAATATGTAAATTGTTACCAAAACAATACCAATATAACTGTTTAATTGCATAAAATCATTGTAAAAAGATTACCTTCATGAAATATAGCGAGCGGAGTCCATAGCAAGTTCCTAGTACAATTAAAATAAAACTACAAATGAGGAATAACAAAACATAAAAATAATAGATAATAAAGGTCGTCAATGAATATTGTAATTTATTATATAAGAATTACCTTCATATACGCTGAAAAACTTCCTTGTATACAACATTATTTGTAATGTTGGTTGTGTCACCAGATTCCGAGTTAATCAAAATTTTTATGCCACTTCGACTCTTAACTCTTGAGAGTGCGACATAGAGCTGCCCGTGACTGAAAATAGGTCTCGGTAAGTACAGGCCCACGTGAGAAAGAGTCTGTCATTGACTTTTATTGATTGTCATTGCGAATGATACCATCAGCGGAAACGGACGTCGCTGGAATTTAATAGGCAATGCAAAGTTGGACGGTACAAAAGTCATTCTAGGAATGAACACCATATCACCAACATGTTTACCGGATAGAATCCTACAGTTGAGAACGTGTTTTCCCATATTAATAACCCGAAGCCTTGTTCCATTGCACAATCCTCTGGCCTGATCAATATTTCTGGTGAGCATAACGGGAACACCTCATTTCAATGTCAACTTATGTGGTGGAATTCCGGAGCATGATATGGTGTTGAGAAACTCCGGTGAGTATATTTCTGCGTTGACATCCGACAACAACTCCTCCTTGCACATACTATCGAAGCTGAAATAGACCTTCTCCTCTCCCATTATGATCGACAAAAAATGATCGTTCACAAAACCGACACTTTCATTAGTGGGTGCAAGAATTGCTCTGCCTTCGAAATACTCGGGAGTGAAAAGGTTGGTCACCAGATTGGGATAGACAAACTCTATAAGATCCAAAAAGGGATCTGCAGAATTCCGAATCAGCATGTCATCGGGAATTTCAATTGTGACATCACCATCATTTACCTCGCCAACATCGCCATTGCCGATTCTCAATATCCAGTCCGCAAATTCTCTTATTTCATCTGCATTGGCGGAAGAGGAGGACGACTCAAGTCTCATGTTCTTGTTTAACTTCATAACCTTACATTGTCTCCACAACGGTAATGAATTGATTGTAGCATGAACAATGTCTTGTCTCGACGCTTTCAACACAACTGGCAGAATTTGCCGAAAGTCCCCTCCAAGCACTACAACCTTGCCTCCGAATGGCATATCTGAATCAAGTATAGATTTCATTGTTTTGTCAAGTGCTTCGAAACAGTACCTGTGCATTATCGGTGCCTCGTCCCATATGATTAGCTTTGCTCTAGACAACAATTCTGCATGTGGGCTCTGTTGTTTGATGCTGCATGTGGAGCTCTCATGTACAATTATTGGCAGTCCAAATCTCGAATGAGCAGTTCTGCCTCCTGGAAGTAGAAACGAAGCAATACCACTGGAAGCAACATTTATAACTATTTCGCCTTTTGAACGGATAGCATCCGATAATGTTTTCCATATGAAAGTCTTTCCCGTTACTCCATGCCCATAAAGAAAGAACAGTCCACCTCTGTCATTTGTAACATCATCCATGATATCATCGAACACTTTTTTTCTGCTCATCAGTAATGGATGAAAGGTATTTCTTAAGCTCTTCACGCATCGCATCAACGTCATAGTCCAACTCGTCGAGAACTAATCCATGTACCGTGCCGTCCGTCATCGACCCAATTGGAATCGGCATTGAGGGAAAGTTACTCAGGCTTTTGCTGTTGCTTTGCAATATATTTTCTATTTCAATTAAAGCGTAGTTTCTCAGAGTATCGTCTGACACAGGTGGACCTTCAGTATAATATAATATGAAATTTTTTCATAATGCGGCGATTATAAAAATATATAGTTTTAATTCAAAAGTGTGTAGTAAACTGTGTAAAAACGTAAGATGTATTCTCATACCTGAATTGGTACGACGTTGTTGCAGTTTGTACGCAATATCCTCGGCGAATTCTTTCCAGCAACACTCCCACACATGTTCCGGTCTGCTCATATTATTTGCGACCAAAAGTACGATGAACAATCGTCTCATATAGTCACCACTGGCCCACTCGTTTGCCTCCTTTATGCAAGCTATGTACTCCTTGTCGTCATCTAGTAGTCCAAGCGCAAAGCACACATCTTTGAAAGTTGGGTAGACTTGATCCTCGACTTTCCTAAGATCATCGTAACACGTGCAACCTCTTTGAAAGTTCAACAACAGTCTCAAGTAATAGTCTTCACCCTTGCCCGGGAGTACATTGGTAACCCTTCCGATCGAGAATCCTATCTTTCTCGGCATCCAACAGCGAGCTTTTTTCTTATAGACAAATTTCTGTGGAAACTCTCCATACCTCAAATTTCTAGCTTCAGGGTACAACTTATTCGCTTAGAACCAAGCAAGGAACATCGTTTGCTTCGCAGTCGGTCTGTTCAGCACATCAACTAATGAGTCATTATCTATAAACACAACAGCCTGACTGTCCGGAAGATGAAAGCTTAACCTAATCACCGGTGGGTCTCTAAAGTGAATGTCAAAGCTAAATAACCTCCAAGCAGCCTCGCATATCGAAAGATATCTGCAGTCGCAGTACATCTTTATCTCATTGCGACTTTCAGGAGTTTCACCTGGATTATTTGATTGATAAAATGCCACCGTGACTCGATCATGTCCTTTGTTGACGTACTTGAATAAGTACTTTATCGACTTATTATGGTTGCACAACTCGACATTAATGTGTGCTCTGTACTTTTTCAGTAGAGCACGGTTATAAGGCACGACGGAACTATTGTCAAGATATGTTTTCTTCTTAACCACGGTCCTCCCATTTTCTCTTATTCTGTACACCGGATAACCATCTGCATCGGCTTCAGTACGGTTGACAAAACTCATTGGAAATCGCTTCGTGCAAATACCGTCCTTCATGCATGGAGAGTTTTGATTGGCCAGACCGCACGGGCCGTGAATCATATACTTCTCAACCTAATCGTACGTCTTTCGGTCTGTTACCTTTATGTGGGATTTCGGCACATATGATTTTATCTATGTCTTTTGATGTCTTCGGTTTATCTTCATTGTGAAGCCAAATCAATATGTGCACATGCGGGAGACCGCGCTTCTGAAACTCAATTGTGCAGACATCTGAAAATTTTACATTTTAAACGTATTTGGTTAGCATTAATATACACATATTTTCAATGTTTGACATAATAGAATATTTATACTATTATAAGAGTAGGCAATGTATAAAATATATAATATGTGATACTTTTAACTTATAAATTGATACTTACATGCTCTACCGCGACCAAATATTTTTCCCTCGGACTGTTGAGCTTCATCTTAAAAACTCGAGCAAGAATATCGGGACGGTCTTCAGGTCTCAAATTAGTACCGCTCAACGCCCTTTGAATTTCTGGCCACTGTGGATTGCAGGTAATAGTGATGAACAACGATGGAAATCCAATCCAGTTGCATATTTGAAGAGCATCGACGAAGTTGTTAAACATGTATCTTGGACCTTGGGTAAAACTGCTTGGTAGAATAACCCTCGTGCCAATGGATCTAGCATCCGTATCTCCCTTCAAAATAATTTCCTCGATACCCTTGTACATGTCAACTCTCAACTTATCCTGGTTAAATCTTATGAATTTCAGTCTTTCCGATTCAACCATTGAAAATGCGTCGACCATGAATTGCTGGCACAATTTTTTTGAGTGCAACAGAACCGCGTTGTCGCCAAATCTTTTCTGAATTCTATACGCAAAGTACTGCCGCATTGTTAACTTCTTACATATACGTGTACCACTCGCTGATGTTTCCCTCAATGGTATATCATCCCTATAACCATCCTCGCCGTAAGAAAATATTAGCGGATACTGCAGTGGAAGATATAGGGGGTGCAACTCACTGATTCGCTGGAGTTTTTGCGATTGTGTCTCGACAACTATGTCTCTAACACCCTTCTGGGTGTCAAAATCACCAACAATGAGTCCTGCGATTTCACTGGAGTTCGGCAGATTGTAAGTACGGCCATCCGTACTTCGTTTCTTTATGAGTCTCAATTTGACATCCTCCATTCCTGTCTGTGAGAGCCTGTCCCGGGTAGCTCTGTAAGACTGAGCAAGCACATTTGAGCTGTCGACCATATCCTTCAATGTATAAACAATCTCAGGATCCAATTCGCTGGAACTGTCTCCGGATCTGCAACGATAAAATCAAACGTAAAGTAAATTCCTTGTAATATAATAAAAATAAGAACATATAACTGAAAGTGCTTTATACCTGACTGCATCCATTCGATTCTTGACTTCATTCTCCGTGTCAAATGTATAAAGTTGAGCAAACTTGGGACGCGATCCTTCATCTGGCAACAAAGTACCCATTAAATGGTAGTTTTGGCCATGGAGTAGAAATGTGTACGGACCGGATCCTCTGTTTATCGTAGTCTGCATCTTTCCTCCAAAAGATTTGAATGAGAACATCATATTATACGACCGTATGTGTTCTTGGAAATGCTTGCTTCTTCAATCGGTACCAAATAGGAGAATCTTTAGGGGATCTGGTGCTTCTATTAAATTGGGCAATTCGATTTTTCCTCCATTACAGCACATTGAAAACTTAAGATTTGATGTACCCTTTTGCTTATCGATCCTTTCCCCGTACCACATCATTGCGCCACATGATTGGCATTCGTACGACTGATCACCAAGATCATCGTATTCTGCGTAGGACAAATACATCCGTTATTACGATGAAAACGACATGTTATCATACGTAATAAATATTGGAGTACTTACCATCATCATCGTCGGAATCAGTGAAGGTTTCGTCATTTGATACATATTGTGATTCTATTTAAATAAAAAAACAATACTGATATCAATTAATTATTATGAACAATTATTCACGGCGAATTTTACGTGATAAATGTGATCGAAATTATAACACATACCTCCACAGTCCGAAGTAATTTCCCGTATAGTCTGTAAATCTTCATCGACCAAAGTGACAGGTTTTGAATCGATATCCAAACCACATGCAACATAATGTATGGTTTTTTAACTATTCGATATCCTCTTTTCAGTACGAACCGAAGAACTGTAAATTATTCAATGAATAAAAAAATATTATACTTTTACTATCTTGGATATGGTAACATATTAAATACAACTGTGTTACATAATTGTATTAATTTTGTGTTTAAGACATATTACGAAATGTATCTTTTGTTGGTTTCGTAGTATGCATTATCATAAATATTTTGCACACTACCAATGCTATGTAAACCATCTATCTCGTACGAATTAGCATCTATTGGAAATATTGTTAAAGACATCCGTAAGAAAATGTTGAATAATTATTCTAATGATAATAAGTAATCAATAGAGTGCAAACCTTCACAATTTGCTGCAACATTGTTATATGTCACCTCACAATTTCTCTCATAGTTTTTTTTGTTATTTGTATCTGTACTTGACATACTTTTATCATTTAGAGTTCGAGTTTTTCCTTTATACTGAGCAACTCTCTTTTTGCTGACAGTGTATTCCAAATATGTTTACATAATATAAAAATATAATTCTTCAGTATAATTTATATATTAAATTACGCCACATATGTGTAAAACAAAGACAAATCTTATTCCATTATAGGTGAAATACGATATATATATATATATATATATATATATATATATATATATATATATATATTGAGTTTCGTTAATACAAATGGTAATGTTGTTCGTACCTGTTGTTGCAACATTTTTCACAATTCTTCCACTGTTTCTTTCAGTTCTAATACTGATGTATTCATATTAAAAACTGTAAGGGGAATTAAGTAACATGAAATGTATGTAAACAATTAATATAATAATTAATCATTACCATTTGTAATATCGGATATAATTAAATTGTTGGGTGTAGTTGTGATGTCGGGTTATTTGGTGTATATTAATTCAAGATCTTTGAATCGAATTCCAGCTCTCTGCCTGGATCAAAACTCCTCTGTGTTGTAAAATTTTGATTTATCGATTGATTTTCCGCAAGAACTTGCATTTTTTGCCGAAAATTCTTATGTATATTATCGGAATATATATAATAAGGATGCCCAATACTAACTTTTATTAATTGGACATTGTTAAATGATATTTGAAGCATATATTTGTATTAACCGAACATATAAATGCATAATTTAATTGATCTGAGGGGTCCATTAGCTTCTTTCCCTTGTTATTTCTAATTGTTTGCATATTATGGGTATATCCATCATCTGTATGAATAAATTAAAAGTATTATTACATCCAATGATACATATATTATTGTATAACAAACGTAGGTAAACATCTCGTGACAATATATAAATACAAATTAACAAAAATAGAAAATACAGAAATAAAAAAATGATACTAACCATTTGTCATAGTAGATAGAGTTAAACTGTTTGTTGTGGTTGGTGTTTTCATTATTAGATGGGCACAATCCCACAGTTTTAGTTCCATTTACGCAACCATGGATCGATTGAAACTCCTTCGTGGTCTAATTATTTGATTTATTTATCAAGTAAGACCCATATTAGAGTGAAATATTAATAACATGATTAGTAAAATGAATACTTGTGAATATACATCGTAAAGAAACAATTTTCACGAATTTATTTGCAAACAACAAAGTTTTTGTTACCTTTCGCCGGTGTTAATGTTCTCTTGTTTAATTTCGGATATAATTTATGCGATTTGTCTTTGCAGCTTTTGTATCATGAATGCTGTTCTGGTTAAAAACATTTCGCGGGGGACGTTTTCTTTCATATTTGATTGTATATTCGTAAAAAAATAGGATTACAATGTGATACAACAAAAATGATGTAGCGTATTTATATAATTGCAACAATGTTATTAAATCTATTTAAGACCATAAAATCTTCAAATATTACGACTAATATAGAATAATTTATTAAGATTTGATTAATTGGCATGTTTCCGTATTTAATGGATTGTAATAATAACTAAATATATAATTTGCAAGATATGTAAGGCAAGAAATCAATTAGTTAATGATATATGTTATTTATAAGAATATATTCCTGAAAATATATAAATATCGTATTTTTTTTTTGAAATGCTAAATCCCACACTATTTTTAATAAATCATGCAAATTAAAAATATTTATCTCTCTACAATCTTCTCTCTCGTTTCCCACCCTTCTTTTTTTCCCTAATTTTTTCACAAAATCACACACTAAAAATATCCCTAGCATTCCAAGTTCAAATTTGACAAAAAATTTCACATGTTCAAACTAAAATAAATTTGGAATTTGAGGAAAAAATTCGAATTAATATGAATTTGAATAATTAAAAAGGCTTACTGAAATTGAATAAATATTACATAAAACGGAATTCGTTTTATGATTATTCACGTAAAAATTATTGAATTTTGAGTGACTTGGATAAAATCATTTTAGAGAGAATTTTAGTAGAGAGATAATATATTTTTTTTAATTTATGTGTGGGATTTAGATTTTAGTGTGGGATTTAGCACGCCCCTTTTTTTTTATGCTGAATATAAGTCCGACTACATCCAAAAAATGGATACCAGTGAATGCGTGCCATGTGGACAGCAAATATTAATTATTTAAGAGTTTGGTGGGACCCATTTTTAAAAGATTGAATACTCCTAAATTAGGAGTATTCATCGTAAATTTTAAAATAAATTTCAAATTTTTACTACATCCATCATTTACGTTTGTTAAATTATTACTAAATCATGAGGGTTTTATTATTCTTATTGGAGACAGTAGTCAGATCACATTAGGACTCCTAATCGTAGTTTGTAATACGTTAACTATTTTTTTTTTTTTGACAAGAAGCCAATTTTATTATTAGGCAAATATAGCCAAGTTCAAGGGAAGGAGATAACCTTCATTACAATTAAGGTCAGTAGCTTTTGCAATGGCATTAGCCAAGCAGTTACCGGTACGTTTGACAAACGAGAAAATGCAGCATTGAAAAAGTGGTAAAACAGTAAGACAATCCTCAATAAAAATACCATAAGGAGCTGAAGTGGCCACACCTTCTTTAAGGGACTCCGTAATATGCAGACAATCGCTCTCAATAATGATTGACTGCCACCCAAGTTCAATCGCAAGACGCATTGCAAGAAGGGCTGCGTGAGCTTCCCCAACGGCTGGTGGCGGTCTCCCAGGATGCAACTCTCTTCTCCACCTAATGCAATTTCTAATTTCTTCATTCACTGAGCCATAAATCCAACCAAGTTCCCAATTTCTACAAGCATTGAAAAGAAAAAAAAAAAAAACTCACAATCTGAAGATTTAGAAGTGATGAAGAAGATGAAGAACAATTAGAGGTATTTATGCATTTTTCATTATTTTTGTCTTACCGTTGATAATCAACGGTCATATTTGCAAATCATTCAAATTTTAATTTTTATTTAAAAAAATTAAATTTGAAATTTAAATTCAAGAAATTTGGTTTTGTTTGAAGTTGGGTCTCATTAAATCAGAGTCTCCAAACCAATACCTATATTTAGGAACAATTTTACAAGATGGCAAAAAATGGAGGGCTATCATTGGAGTTCAATTCTCCTAAAGTGCAAATATCACTTCAAGTCCGAACCTATTTTCTAGTTCGAGTGAATATGGAGGGGATTCGGTGTCGGAGACCCAAAATTTAACTTAATCATCAAACACCAACGTAAGGCCGATGGGGCACAAAAAAACTAAAAAAACAAGATAAGGGCACTATAAATGATACCACGAGACAAGCTGATTCAATGGCAAAAGTAATGAGGGATTACCAAGAAAATTTTGAGATTAAAAAATTTCAAAATTATGATGACGAGCAGGTCCTCAGTTGAAACTCCGGAGAGGAAAGCATGGTTGATTGAACAATAAAATGCCATTATTGCAAAAAGGTCATCTCGTTCACGGAATTTTGACGATGATGTCTATCACCCCGAAATGCCTCCATCTGATTTAGTATCTTGATGTTATTTTAATGGTTTATTTTTCTGATTATCGTTGACTATCTTAAATGTCGTTATTTTAATTGTTAATTTGAATTTCTAGTAATGTCTAATAAGTTATTAATAGTAATGTTAATTTTTTTTTATATAATTTTAAATATTGAGTTTATAAACAACCAATTAAAACGAGGATTAATATGGTTGACCCAAATATCCCTTAAAATAGAAGGAACAAAACGAAAAAAAAAAAGACAATGAATAACCATCTTACGACATGATTACAACGATGAAAATTAAAAATTCAAGTTTCCATCTCGATACTCTTTCTAGATATGCTCGACGAGATCATTTCGGAGCATAAAATAGCGAGTTGTATCTGTAAGTCCGGCACGGTTGCTTAAATATTTTGCAATCGTTATCAGGTCTCGATCAACAGGTTACTGCTCCACGTGCTCGAAAAAATCGTCACCTTC